ATTTTCGTTAAACTCTCCTTAAACACCACATGTATTTGAAGTTTATGGAAATGCAACCCTTTTTCTGTTTTTTTGTTCCCGTACTGCAGGATATAATCAGATATAGGCAGTCCGAGTTCGTTCCGTGCACATAAATCTAGAATATCATCAATCTATCTATGCCAAAACCAAAAATGTGACTCGATGGAACTTTTGGGCTGATTTCAACCCTACCAAAATTATTTGCCCGAAGTAAAAAATAAAGAAGGGATCAATGGTTAAAGTTAGATTTTTTAATTTTTTCAAATATTAATATCTTCTGAACAACATAACCTATTAATGACGTCAAAATAAAGGTAATAAGGGGGCCTTTCACTTGGTGTATATAATTTTCTCCGTTTTTTTTTATATTTTTTAGTCAGAAATACCGAATAACCACAAAATATGTAAATATATTTTATTTAATGGCGTTTATTTAAAATTTGTTTTAAAACGGATTGTTTTCACGTCGCGTAAAAGGTATTTACATTATCTTTAAATTCGCTTCAATCACTTTGTGATCGGTCAAGTAATTTCTGAGATATTATGAGTATAATAGATATAATTTGAACCTCTTATATTGGCTTTGGTTTTTATTTGTTCAAATAATCTTGGTATGGTTGAAATCAGTATGAAAAGTTCTATCGAGCCACATTTTTTAATTTTTTTTTATAGCTAAACGGTTGGTATTCAAGACCACGAATACTTCGGATTATTTCTGTCTAAATCTAAATGTGATAATATAAAGTAAACAAAAAAATTTCAAATTAAACTCTGGGTTTCTTAAATACACCAATGAGAACACTTGACAGTTGTTCGTAAACTCAAAACGTTAAACTCGAGTTTATAGTCAACGTGAACATAATTTAAATCTAGGTCCAAGTAGTCCACTGGCAACACTGATATACATACATGTATACTTGTGTTTTGGCGACATCTGTAGCAAATAATGCCAAACTGGCTGAAAGCTTTTTAACCATGGCAACAACCTTTTTTTTAATGAAGCAGGGTGTCTAAAATTCTTTGGAACAATGTAAGCGAATGTGTGTGTGTGTATGTTTATGTTCCCAGTGAAATGTAAAGTACACCTAGGGGTCTTTTTATGCGGATTTTTTTTATGCGGATTTGAATTTATGCGGTTTTGGTTTGGTTTGGTTTGGTTTGACCATTATTTTGCAGTAGCGATTTTGCTTTTTTGAGAGTTTTTATTACTTTTTTCAGTGTGTAAAAGACAATGCTTCTGATAAATAATTTGTTTTTGTATTCTTACATAATAATAATAATAATAGATTGGCGCTTACACAGAAGTGGAGCTTCTCCTTCAATTTGTGGTGTGCGCCTTGATGTTGTCACACAAAGGGGAGGGACCTACAGTTTTAAGCCGACTCCGAACGGCGATTGTATTTTTACGAGAAGCTGTTTTTCATGGCAGAAATACACTCGGAGGTTTGCCATTGCCTGCCGAGGGGCGACCGCTGTTAAGAAAAAAACCTTTTTTTTTCTAAATTTTTTTTTTTTATGTATTCTTACATAATTCATGTATTTATTGTGGTATTTTTATTTTTATTTTTTGGTTAAAATACAGATAAAATTTTATTTATTTCATTAATGTTCGGTTTTACATGGAATAATAAGTGTTGAAGTGAAGAAATAAATAGTTTTTTTTGCTCAATAATGCCTCACTGGATTTTTTTATGCGGTTTTCTAGAATTTTTTACATCGAGTATCTGAATTTATGCAGTTTTTTAAAATGCTTGAACGCATCCCCTGTTTTGGTATGAAAGTAAAGAACTTTTTTATGCGGATTTTTTTTTATGCGGCTTTCTGAGGAACGCATGTACCGCATAAAAAGAGACCTAAGTGTACAGCTATCGAAATTAGAGGTTGGAATCAATCAATAGCACTATCGATGATTTCAGACAATCGTAATCATTATGCGCTCTTTTATTTGGTGGGCTGACGAAAAGGTTATACATACAATACGTACACCGATCAGCGGCAAGAATAGCGACCATCTTGGATCGGCGCATTTAAAAAGATGGTACCTATTCAAGCTAAATATTCCAGAAACTGTCAAAATAGTAGAGGACGAGGTGCAGCGGATATGCGAAAAACATAGAGCTGCAGATCAAGATCCTTGAGTTACACCTACAACTAGTGCACAAAGCCAAGGGCGTAGCCAGGTAGGGTCTAATTTTTAAACCGCTACTGCCTTTTTTAAACTTTTATAGTCTACTTTGTAAACCAGTCAATAGTTTTACGCAATTTTTAATATATTCTGGTTTAAATTTTAGCCCAAAAAGTTCGTGGTTTAAAAATCAAACCAAAATGTTTTAATTCTAGTTTCTAGGTTTCATATATAGAAAATTTGGTTTAAAATCTAAACCGAAATAGAATATGTTTGCACAGCGAAATGTGGTGTTGATTCAAACTCAACACATGAAAGCACATTTACATGCATGGCTGTAGCTGAGTGTGCAAAGATGCTTGATACAATTGGTTGCTACCAAGGCTGTCCGGGTTCAGTCCCAACCAGACGGAGCATGAAATTTAAGATTGTTTTTTTTTTTTTATTCTTAATTATGAAAATGTTTGGGTTTAAAATTTAAACCGAATTGTTTAAATTCTAAACGCAACATATGTGCTCTCTTTTTTTTAAACTTGGAAGGTTTGTATTTGAAACTGAATTTAGTTTGGTCATATATGTAGTCCAAAAAGTTTAAAATTAAAACCGAAATTTTTAACCGTGTATAGAATTGAATCAAACACCCATTTGAGTTTTTCTTACCATTCTGTGATAAACAGGATGGAAACCCCAACGAGGAAAACACTTCCTATTCTGTTAAATCTTGTTGTGAATGACTTAAACGAGGTTCCAGAAATAAGAAGTACTATTTCTACCTTAAAAGATGTGATACACTTTTTTCGCAAATCAATAACACGCAAGAATTATACTCCTGATATATCACGTTTCTGTGAAACAAGATGGTCGGAAAAATATAAGGCAATCAGGAAATTTTCAAAAAAAATTTTCCTGAAGTTGTGAAAGCTGTAGAAAAGTTGTCAATTCAGGTAAACTTTTCCGCAAGAAAGTTGGAAAGTTGAAGTTGGAAGTTGCTTGGATGAAAATTACTAACAGGCTAACCTAATATTCACGCACGCCGCCAATTTATTGTCAAAAATTTCTCATGCACATGCAACTTGTATGAGATCAACCGAAATTGAACGGCGTGCGTATGAAGCTAACTCAATTTTCAATTTTTGTTCCGCGTGACATTTTGATTTGACGTTTCGCTCAATGAAATCAAATGCAAACGCATGCAAGTCAATTTCGGGTGACGCAAAAAAACAAATTCGACGGCATGCGTACCAAAACGCAAGCCGCGAATATTAGGTTAGCCTGTAAATTTTCAATGTTTCTGGAATCTACAGGAAACATTTTGCAAACGAAGACAATAGACCTCATCGCCGTTGATCAGCATATTGAAAATATTTTGGAGGTGGTTAAGAATAATCGAAGGAATGCAGAAGGAGTAACTTCGGAGTTAATTAAAAAATCTCGTATGTTTACAGCCGATCTAGGAAGCAGGTAAACAAAAAAAAAAATGAAGTAAACCCCATCTTTCAATGAAAATGAGTACTGGCGACGGTCTATAATAATACCGTATCTGGATTCACTAACGGTCTCTTTACAACTACGCTCTTCTGATGAAAATAATCCAGCTTTTTCGCTGTCTATATTGCACCCATTGTATTCTATTAAATGTTCTAGTGAAAAGGTACAAAAGAACTCGAAATATTTTCAACAGATCTATGGTCTAGGTATGGGAAGTGAACTCATTCTTTGGTACAATTTATGGAAGAAAAAGAACTTTTCCGAAGAAGATTTGAAATATGTTGAAATTGTAGATCTATTTAAAGAAGAAAACGAATATCTAACAGCGATAGAAAGGGGTATTTCCATTTTGAGTGCTTTTACATGCACTACAGTGACTGTGGAGCGATCGTTTAGTACACTTCGTAGAGTAGAAACCTGGCTCAGAAGCACAACAGGAGAAGAAAGGCTTTCTGGACTATGCCTCATGAGCGTCCATAGAAAACTCGTTACCGAAAACCGCGAGTTGATTCACGAGGAAATAATCGAAAAGTTTGCTGAAAATCGTTATTAGCGTAAAAATGATTGAATTAAAAATATATTAAAACAATTAACAAGTATATTTCGTTTTGCCCCCCAAAAATTGTGTTTTGATTTTCATGTGGCCTTGAGCTCGAAAAATATACAACAATAAATATTTAAAAAATAAAAAGGGTCTTGAGTTTTTAATTTCAATGCCAAATTTAAGAAATACACTCATAATTCAAATGAAAACTATCACACACTTTCGATGGTGCGATAGTTTCCGACCCCTAATCGAAATAACACTGCCACTTACTACTTTTTCTGTACATATACCAAAATTTAAAAAATATATCAAAATATGTTTTACTTATCGATAAAACTACATATCTAAATATTTTACAAATACGCATTGGTAATATAAATTTTTAATAAACCAATTTTTCGAGTGTTTTATGAACTATTTTATAATGCTGGCACATACCTTTATTAAGTTAATTGTTGCTATTATTAGACTGAGTAGTTATTATTATTACTATTTGAGGGAATAAAAACGACCTATGTATATAGATCGATTGTGCTGGCCTCATAAAAGCTCTATCCAACATTACTCTATTTTTGAAATGAAGCATTTTAGATAACAAAGTTTGAGCTTAAACATACTTTTGAAGAGGGCTGCCACCTGTTTAATGTTCGGTTTTGCCCGAACTTAGACTTCTTTACTTGTTATCCATCGAATAAGTATTTTTTATCCACGGTGAATTAATTTAGTACCTCAATGCCAATTTTACTAGACTATAAGAGGTATGTACATTGTACAAACTTATAAATGTTTATTAAATATTTTTTTTTTGTTTACTTATAGGCATGTGTGAATTTGTTTGCTTTACTTAGTTTAATTTAAGCATTAATTCATTGACAAACTTCAGTAAAAATATCAAACGATCAATTTTCCTTCTTTGCTTAACAAATTAATCTGAAAAATTAATTCAGATTTATCCACTTCAGTAGAAGTTATTGATTTAATTATAATACAATAAAAAACTGATAAGATATATGTACATATGTATGTATATATGTACATATATCTATGCACCTAATCGTTATCTACCAATTAAATGATGGACAGAGATGCCAGTTTGGTAAGGTTTTGTCGAAGTCGTAGTTGATTTTTTTTTTTAAAGAAACGGAATTGTAGAGACATTTTGAAATATGGGCAAACTTGGGAGACTTAATATTTGTCTGTGGCGATGTGCCGATTCCCTTATTTAGAACCTCTTTCAGTGCTAGTAGCATTGCGAAAATATGGTCAAAGATGGATTTGCCACACCTGAAGAAGTAACTCTGTAATCTCGACCGGTCATACATGGGCCAGTGCACCGAAAGAGCGACATTTTTGTCCTCGAACTTTTATAACAAAAAAATTATTACCTCACGATATTTTTGTAAATTTGTAAAATCATTTATGAGTTATAAAATAGAGAAGTATTTTCAATAGAAAAAATTTATGTTTTCAAATACCACATCGAGTTTCCCAAAAATATTTACTTGCAATAAAATTTACGGCGAATAAATATAGCAAAAAAAAACAACGTATTTTTGCATGATTAGGAAAAGGTGCATCGAGAGCCTCAGGTGATCCAGCAAATATGATTCGAGATTAAAATGTAGCGCACCAAAAACCTTTAAAAAGTATAGCCTGGTCTCTGTGTCTGAAAATTATAAGCCAGTTTCGAATGAGGTCAACATGAAATGCCACACCAGTCGAATGTTATAACTTTTGTATTAAAAAATTAAACAAAAGCAGTTCTTCCATACTAAATGGCTTGGAGGGTTGATAAGAAAATAGAAAAATGTGAACGGAAATCGAAAGATGCTTGAAAATCGATACGGAATTTGAATGGAGAAAACGATTAGCAGAATTGAGGGAGCAAAAAAGTCAACTATGTAACATGTCAAAATAAACTATAAAGGCAAGCTAAAGTAAAGGCCTGATAATGAATTGAATAAGAGACTGTTGTAAGAATGTCGAGAAGCACAAAAAAACGTAGGAGAAATCAATGACATATTCAGACAAAATTTCCAACCAATCCCCCACTGTTTACAACAATTTTAACTCTAAACAAGCAGGAGTGGCGAGGAAGCCGAAAAGCAGCTCACTTTGAACCGTTCAGCGCGCTTGGGACATTTTTCAAAAGTTTTTATAATTTTACTGCTAATAGATTATTGCTAACATCGATTTTGTATGAAATAGTTTCGTCAGTGACTGATTTATCGCAGTTTTCGTATTTCTATGAATTACCGTTCTGTGGGAGGTATGCATGGTTATCGTCCGATTTGAAAAATTTCCAAAAGGTATTAGACTGATTGTAAATTTGTTACCCTTATAAGCTTTAAGTTTTATAAGCGTTTTTTATAAGCGCTGAGCGTTAAGCTGAAAAAATTAAATTAAATTAAAATTAAGCAAAAATAAATAAAAATATTTTTAAAAATTAAATGAAAAAAAAATCATTTTAAAACACAAAAATTTAAAACTTAGAAGAAGAAAAAATCATCTTAACCAAAAACCAAAAGAAAATTAAACTAAAAAATTAAAAAAATTAATTTAAAAAAATATAAAATAAGTTAAATGAAATTAAAACAGTATGCTTCTTTTTAAAACAATAATATCGAAACATTTAAAGAAAATTAATTAAAAAAATAAAATAAAATAAGTTCAATGGAATTAAAAAAATATGCTTTTTTAAAGCAATAATATCAAAACATTTAAAGAAAATTAGATAATAAAGAAAAAATTAATTGAAAAAAAAAATTAAAATCACTTTATAGAAATTAAATTAAATTAAAAAAATAGATATATATTTTCCTTTTTAAAACCATAAAATCTTAAAATTAAAAGACCTAAATAAAAAAAATGTAAATAAAAAAATCCTCCCTCTGAGTACTCGAAATCGGATGATGTACAAGTGATTTATTCTCCAATTAACTTTTCCACGAGTGGTGAATGAGAGAGCTATGCTAGAATAACAAAAGTCTTTCGAACTATCTTGCCATCTGTCTTTCATTTGTCTTACGACCCGTCTCCGCAGGCAAACGTTTTTGCCTACCAACTGTCATTTTTATTGCCAGATATAAATTTTATCAGAGGCAATATTTGTGTGTGGGCATTTTTTATCTTGGTAAAAGCATTTGTAAGATGGCTATTTTTGCCAGATTTAATTACTTAAAAAATTTAGAAAATTTGCTATTTTACATACAAGAACATAATAACAAATATTTTAAGAGAAAACGGCAAAATTTTTGCTGTTATATTAAAATATCATTAATATTGCCTCCACGAAATGAAAATGTAATGCGCAAATGAAAATGTAGCAGTCATAGACCAAATTGCTGGCAATATTTATCAAGATAAAAGCTCTGATAATTCGAGGATGTTACGAAATGTTGAAACAGATTTTTGTGAACTACTGGACCAAATCTACGACCTCTACTAGGTCACCTAACAAGTTAATTTTCACTTTAGCACCATGTAATTATTATTTCCGGTGAACGGTAATAATAATAATTGTCGCTGTTTTCAAGAAAAAAAATTAAATAGTGATCGAATGCTGATTTAGATTATTTTATTTATAACATGAATTAAGTGTACACTCAACGAAGAAGATCTTTTGTTAATTTTCTCTTCAGCTGGGTGAAAAAATTTGGGATGTATGCCATTTTTCTTATATGTAGGTTAGGGTGGGTTTCGAGCCTTAGATCTTAAGAGACAGCATGTTTGCTTGATTTCTTCTGCAACGGTTAGGACTTTAAGATCACGATGTAGTTGCCTGTTTTCCAATGTGGATCCAATATGTACAAATCCACCTGAATCCTTTTGACCCTAAATTTTTTGGTTCATTTGGTCCCTCTCGCCTCTCATCGACTTTCTGGCGGAAAAGGGTTCGTTTTTCCGTGCCAGACAGCACGCGAAAGGTCATTACCTGAATATACAGTATCTGTCACGTAATTGACTGACCAAGTTACCAGGTTGATTTGGCCTCCCAGTACGCCCTAAAAAATCCCACTGTAAGGTGTGACTCGAGTAATGTTCTATGGTTGAGGTCATACCAGTTCTACTCGCAGGCTGTTTGTAATGACCAAAGATTGACGTTTGTATGAAGAGAGATAAGTCTATAACAAACAAATTTTTTAACTAATCTATTTTTTAACTAAAAAATTTGGCTAAGTTTTATTATTTTGCCTCAGTGGCATTGCCGAACCCAATATTAATCCAATTGAACTTATCTTATCGCTGCTGGAAGTTGACGTTCGACAATATTGAAATTATTATATGCACAGGTGAGATTATGCATGTACATATACAGGCCCGTCTAGAGGGCTGGAGCGGGTTGAAAGGGGATTCCCCCGGGCCCCAGATTTTTAAGGGGCCTGAAATATCATAAAATATCATATAAAAAGTGCTAACTGATCATAAAATAATGACAGGCTTATGTTTGTGTTGAGTTTGTTAACCGATTTTGAATTATATCAGCTTGTCTTATATTTATAATTAACATGTTAATAAAAAAAAAATTATTCCTTATAAAAACAAATATTTTTCAATATTTTCGCTAGGAAGTGCATCTTCGTTATAGGCTACAGGGGATAGGAAAACTATTAATTGATCACATTCTTTTAAACGAATACAATTTATGTACAGGGGCCCGTGATTTTTCAGTCTGGCGCCCGAGTTTTCTCTCGGCGGCCCTGTATATATGTATGTATGTATGTCCATTTCTGCTAAATATTTACTCTTATTATCTTATCACTTACACAAACTAGCTGCAGAAAAGCCGTTTAGCGCCATCAATCAGTGGAAGACCATTCGAGCGAATATTTAACCAATATAGGAGGTCACTAATCGCAAAATTTTCGGCAAGCGAACATAGTGGTTTTTAACGCGTCTAAAACGTTTGAACATTGTTGAAATTGCATATCGGTTTGTTTTCATTTGTTGTTGAATTTGGACGGGTAGTAATGGAAACAGCTCGCGCGTAATCCACTGCGGCACCCGTAGCGGTCAACGCGTAAATAATGGCGACCAATTGAACTGCCAAGGGTTAAGGTGTACCGAAGTTTTATGCCATAATAAACAAAATAGATAAATTTCCGACCAAAAAAGGTGCCAGCTTTGCTATAGCCGGCAGAACGTGTGCCAATACTTTAAAACAGACAATGCCTCTGTTACCAACCATTGAGGAAGAGAGTCAAATGTCATGGCTGCGCTTATTTTGTCGCTATCGATTGCAATTCCAGGCAATGACCTCAGGTGAGAGAACTATGTAATTAGAAAAGTTTTACAGCAAAAATATGTACGAAGTTGTGATGCCCAATATCTTGTGATTTCCATCTTCCCGGTTATATTGACCCTTCTGTGACATCCTTGGTACAGCTGCACCAATTCGGATTTTTAAAACGAATAAGTGGATTAATTAGTCAACAATAGTGAATAAGTGGAATTTTTTGTGTCGGTGACAATGGCTGAGGTACATCTATAGTGCCTTCATTGGCATCCTTGATACAATTGTACAGCAAGCACATATTCATATAAAATGTAATACGAACATTTTAACCCCAAACATGGTTTATGATTATACGAGGGAAGTTTAATTAATCACTGACTTTTTGAATTTCCTACGAAGTTAAATCTAAATAAAGCACTGCTCCTATCAACTACCATCTATTAATACATATACTGTTACCAAATTTTGAGCAGGCTACTTTATTTTGTTTGAATTTAAGAATCATTAAAATTAGAAATCTCGTATATTTTGACGAATGTATAAGAAAGAAAGAAAAATTGTCAAAAATACAACTTATGAGATATTAGGTAAAATTTTTAATTTTTCCGTTTAAAATTGCTTAAGATTACTGTAAAAAATTATTATTTTGTTTAATTTGAATTTTGTAGTTTATAGCTGATTTCCACCAAGCCTTAACTGTAGTTTATGCTTATTGGAAAAAGGAGATTACAACTCGAAGAGGGTAATTCCATTTATTAAGTAGAAGTAAACGAAAGGAAAAAGGCGAAAATTAAGAAATAAATCTTACCGATCACCCCATGCTAAAATTCTTATCTGAGCTCTTAACTGCAGTTAAGCATTTGGTGGAAATAGGTTATTAGACTCGCTATATTTTAAATGCGAATTTATTTTGTTGAAAATCAAAATACATATACATAACTAAAGTTTAAATGAATAAATCTAAAAATCATGTAAAATTGTGTTGTTTTATTGCATAAATCAAAAGTATGGTCTTTGATCTGTTGAAAAATAAAATAGAAATTTGCCACTTTGCGAAATAATGCGGATGCATCAAATAAATTTTTAATTTTTTGTTAATGCCATCAGATCTGCACCAATGGTTTGGTTTTCAAAAATGTGAAGGCACACTAAATGCATTGTTCTTTAAATGTGTAATAAAGGTATAATTTTTTTTAAATACTGCCATCTGTTAAAAAAAATTTTATTAAAGTTATTTAAAAAGTTATATGAATTATTAAAAGGTGGGTATCAATCGAAATGGGTTTTGAGAGGGTTGATTTCTTAACTACATGTAAGAGGGTTGCCACCTGTTTGAAAAATTAAATTCCATTTCAATTTAGGGAACTAGGTGACTGAAATTTGTATTACCACATATATGGGAGTCAGACGAAAGAGGTTTAAGGTCATAGCTTGCAAATATTTTGAAGAGGGTCGCCACCGGTTTACAAATCGAATTTAATTTAATTATTCAAAATTTGAATATGAAATATAAAAATATTAATATTAAACGAAAGGGTCACGATATCGTATTGTTATTTTATTACAGTATGTAAATATACTGTTATTATACATATTTCAGTAACCGGAATCCCTTAATTAAAATGAAATTAATTTTTTAAAGAGGTGGCAACCCTTATACGTGTAGTTTAGAAGTAAAGTATTTTCAAAACCATGTCGATTGATACCCATATTGTAAAATCTAATTCATTTAACTTATTAAATAATTTGAATTAAATTTTTTAACAGCTGGCAACCCTTTTTTAAATAAATACAACTTTAATGCTCATCTACAGACTAATCCCTCTAAACCGACACCTCACTTTAGAAAATGGAATGAACTATATGTATTTACATACCTATGTAAATGCAACAATAATCCAAATTTTAAAACTTCAAACTGCATTTACAGAGAAAGTATGAAAGGTATCAAAAACCAAATTACATTTTTGAATTCAGTGTCCTCAATTTGACTAGCATTCATTTTAATCCGTCTATAATTATATTTTTTTCACATTTTGTATGGAGCTACAGCACTGTGCACCGTTCGGAGTCGGCGCAAAATTGTGCACAGGTCCCTCCCCTTTATGTGACAACATCAAGATGCAAGCCACAAATCGGAGGAGAAGCTCGCTGTGGCTCATGGAACACATTTTCTGTTATATTATTCATAAAGTTTAGAAGAATATCCGAAAAAATAAGAAGAATTGGATGTTAAAACTCAGAATCGGCCTACTTCGGCCCGGTTGTCCATCCAAGGGTTAAACATTTTCGACAGGAATACCAGCGCGAAGGTGAATGTGACCTTTTGTGAGTGGCATGTTATAATTGAAGCTACTCTTATGTGCTGCTGAAATGCCCCTTTTCTATTTGCTTTAGTTCAAATTGGCATTGAACTGCTCACTTTGTCTGGTTATGAAATAGCCCAAGGCTATGCAGAAGGGGCAATGAAGGGGAAGAACGCAATGTTAAATTTGACAGCTGTTTGCATCGAACATATATTGAACTGAATCTTAATAGTACCCACCTCCGAAGTCCAGTTGCGGTACCATTTCTGAACTAGTACACTTTCTTGCAGGGTATTGTATTGCCGATCGTACACATTTTTTAATGCTTCTATTTTATGTTTAAACAGCTCTAATTATTCAACTTGAGTTTTATCTTTCAGCTTCTGCTATTTTCTTGGCTGGTGGCATGAAATTAGCTTGGTCTGTGTTTGAAACCCCAACTGTTAATGCAAAGAGCATAATAACTTATCATCTCCTGACAATAGCCTGGTTTGTTGGTGTGGCTGCTGGAGCAATTATGGCATCGGCATTTGTGCAGCGCGTTAGCAAGAATGTTGCGCATGTAAGTAAAAATATTCGAAGATGATAGAGCACGTACATATGTCTAGATACAGGACGTTAGGAGGGTCGATGCAAATATTCAATACAACGCCGAATGAGATCAAATATTCCAGTATACATTTTATGGCAGATACATTCAAATAGAGGGAGGGTTCCGGATGGCTTCATTTATTTGTAGATTAGTATTAGAATTTACGGAAGCCAACACACAGTCTATTAATGAAATCATAATCAACAGTAATATTAGGTGGGCTATATCAATCTTCCAGAACTCTAAATCTCACTGACCAGATATGTAGTAAATCTAACAAGTCGACTAACAGCCTACATTGGAACGTATTTAATTATAGATGACCTAAAATGTAGTATATCTAACAAGTTGACTAACAACCTTGTCTGGAACGTATAGCTCCATAGTTGGAAACCATCTTTATAAGCTGTGTAGAGTTATGCTATATCATGATAATGGTGTCTATATCAAAGACAGGTAAAATCACTCATACTAAACTAATAAGCTTTAAAATTTTGTTTATTAAAAACAGTGGAGAGAATTTCTAAAACCTATATCAGACTCTCCACCAACCCATCCATTTTATCCAAAGACCAGTATGCCTACTTTAAAAGTGGATTCCCGAAGATGGCGCTTAATTTTTTGTCTCAATAATTGACGAATCATTTGAAATGAAGGACTCCTAACCTATATCAGACTCTCCTCCAACCCATCCATTTTATCCAAAGACCAGTATGCCTACTTTAAAAGTGGATTCCCGAAGATGGCGCTTAATTTTTTGTCTCAATCATTTGAAATGAAGGACTCCACACCAGTAACATTCCTCAACATCGCCGTTACTTTTTACAACATACTAAATACTACTCGCAATTACCTATCTATGAATGCGCTTGAGACAGACAGTCTCTGGTTGGACTCACCCACCAACTGCTCACCTTCAACTTGGTTAGTTTAGAACTAAGGGTTGTATTGCGTATGCAGACGAAGTAGCAGCAGTGGTTCAGAGAAAGTTTCCATAGACTTTTTATAATATAATAGAGACCTACCTGAATTCACTAGTTGCCTAGTCGAAAAGGGTGATTGAATGGTAAACCCCGCTGAAACTGAATTATTTCTCTTTACTAGGAAGTAAAAAGATGGTAACAGCTTAATTTGCGAAAATAAAGCTAAGTTCTTAAAAGCAATTCTCTACAGCAAGCTGAAGCGCAATGGCAACCCAGCTGAAACTGCAAAGAGCCGCAAAAAAATATTTCACTTACACAGGTCACCTTCGCCCGATGCTTGCTAGGTAACGCCGAATAGTCTGTAGCCTCTTCCGCCTTACATTTACAGTGAAGGCCATTGCTTCACCCTTCGACTATTCTTTTGTTAAAACGTTTTGGATCTGTCGATCTTGTGCTGGTGCTTGCTAAACTATACTCTATGGAGTTTTAGTTTGGCGGCCTGCACCAATGAAATCAACAGCGCTTAGAAGTCTTCAAAGTCTAAAACACGGAATTGTGCATAATACGAACCCTTTGCTCCATGCCCACAGAAGTCCAAATCTCGTTGTTGCATCTATTGCACTGGACTTAATTTCTCAATAGGATGCTGTTATTGCGGCAGTAAAACTTAAAGAAGCCGGTCCATACATACATATATCGAGGGAATCTAAGTTCTCACTCAATTCCTAAATCCATACACTTTTTTGAAGCGGGAGTTGTTTTTCACCTGAAATAAGGCTAACAACATCTTTTTGCCTCTCCGACCACAGGAGTGTGTATCAGGTGGATGTGTTGGCAAGACCCCAGTGTCTACAGAGAAAAAGCTAGTCTGCATCTTCTCGGACAGTCAGGCAGCCTGCGTTATTATGGGCGACTACTTAATTGGTTAGCTTGGCCTACGACTAGAGGGGAATGCACTGGTCTATTATAATAGTTGTAAGTATATAGAAATAGAAGAAAATGTGCAACACCTTTTACGTTACTGTCCGACTTTAAGTAGTAGAAGATTACGCTCGATTGTCAAACCGTTTCCAAAAATCATTCCAGAGTGGTTTGCACCCGAGTGAGCTCATAATATCGAAAGAAATTGGTAACTCCATTTCGTACCTAATAACCTAAAGTACCTATAATGGCTTATGCATGACAACCTATTCAAAATATACTGAGAAAATTTGTTCCCACACGCCTAGCAGCGCGAACTTTTGAAGTATCATTTGAAATTGGCTTGATAGGTTTTCATAGGAAACTCCAGTAAAAAAAGTATAAAGTGCATTCAGAATAAATGGCAATCTGTTAAACTTAGGAGTAACTTGTTAAATATATGTAACGATATCGAGAAAGCCTAGATATAACGGGTGATTTTTTAAGAGCTTGATACCTTTTTTTTTAAAAAAAACGCATAAAATTTGCAAAATCTCATCGGTTCTTTATTTGTAACGTTAGATTGGTCCATGACATTTACTTTTTGAAGATAATTTCATTTAAATGTTGACCGCGGCTGCGTCTTAGGTGGTCCATTCGGAAAGTCCAATTTTGGGCAACTTTTTCGAGCATTTCGGCCGGAATAGCCCGAATTTCTTCGGAAATGTTGTCTTCCAAAGCTGGAATAGTTGCTGGCTTATTTCTGTAGACTTTAGACTTGACGTAGCCCCACAAAAAATAGTCTAAAGGCGTCAAATCGCATGATCTTGGTGGCCAACTTACCGGTCCATTTCTTGAGATGAATTGTTCTCCGAAGTTTTCCCTCAAAATGGCCATAGAATCGCGAGCTGTGTGGCATGTAGCGCCATCTTGTTGAAACCACATGTCAACCAAGTTCAGTTCTTCCATTTTTGGCAACAAAAAGTTTGTTAGCATCGAACGATAGCGATCGCCATTCACCGTAACGTTGCGTCCAACAGCATCTTTGAAAAAAATACGGTCCAATGATTCCACCAGCGTACAAACCACACCAAACAGTGCATTTTTCGGGATGCATGGGCAGTTCTTGAACGGCTTCTGGTTGCTCTTCACTCCAAATGCGGCAATTTTGCTTATTTACGAAGCCATTCAACCAGAAATGAGCCTCATCGCTGAACAAAATTTGTCGATAAAAAAGCGCGAAACACATTTCGAACCGAACACTGATTTTGGTAATAAAATTCAATGATTTGCAAGCGTTGCTCGTTAGTAAGTCTATTCATGATGAAATGTCAAAGCATACTGAGCATCTTTCTCTTTGACACCATGTCTGAAATCCCACGTGATCTGTCAAATACTAATGCATGAAAATCCTAACCTCAAAAAAATCACCCGTTATGTACATACGTACCATCATTCATACACTAGGGGGGTAAAAAAAAAAAATTATCCAGCGACCCTCAGAACTGAATATCGAAAAAATGGAGAGCCATATTTTGAAATTTGTTTAACTTGTAATTGTGCCGTCAGGGGTTTGAGTTTCCCATGTATTTTACACAGCCAAACTAAATTTTTTCGTAGAATTACTACAAAATCGTTAAAATCAAATTTCAAATAAGAATATTTCCCTTCAGAAATCTTAAAACAAATTAAATTATAAAACATGCTTTACTTTTTCCCGTTTCTTATAATTCTGCCATTTATGGACCACCCTAATGCAAATGCATATTCGAAAGCCCATACCATATGCACATATAACAAACAAATTTTTATGAAAAAGATCAGTACTATCTCAGCAATTGTAGATATCGATTCCAAAATAATTATCTTCACATACTTTGAGGCAGTCCCGATTTCCCTTATCTGGCTATTGTTTATTTATGTGTTTATATTTATATTAGGGGCATCAATCTGCATACAAAAAATCGGTACTGCTTTTCCATCGAAAATATAAAATGTATTATATTTTAAAGCTACTTTGTCTAAAAATAACCTCAGATGATAGAAGAGTTTAGGCTCAAAAGATCAGCGGAATCAAAATACATAATAAGATTTTTTAGAGGCATTTTCAAATTAGAGTAGCTCACGTAGTAGATGTTAATATTTTTCCGAAATGTTTTAGCGGAGGTAGTGTAATTCCTGTGGAATAAGCGGAACCTTTTTTTTGGAGGTGCATCCTAATGTACAGATGTTATATCAAGATAATTTTTTTTTATATCACAGAGTCATAAACACATCAGCGTTGCTATTTATATATTTGCACAATTATTCGCACTCGATAAAATGCCACTTGAAATTTAACACTTTCGCACTTGTACGAGTATTCAAAGCAATTTATATATTTTATGATCCAATCATATTTTCTGGTCTTATCGACTTTTCATAAGCCAAATATGTACATATATGTACTGATAATATTTTTTGTATTTCTTTTCACTTTCATATTTCAGTGCATAAGTGGCGCGCTTCTTCTGCTCGGCGGCGTTCTCTTTGTCAGCGCTCCCACTTGGTTCGCCTCGCTGCTGTGCAGTTGCCTGATGGAAGGTTGTGCGTACGGCATCAATCAAATACAAGGCCTTGTGACAGCCGGTGAGGTAGCACACAAAGACATTCGTGGTTTATTGGTTGCCAGTGAACGCATTTTCCTTTGGCTGGGCATCTGTCTACAACTACTCTGTACGCGCTTGTGGTTCGTAATGGAACCAATCAGCGGTTATGCGTTGCACGTTAATCAATTACATGGCTTCTTAGCGATCGTGATTGCATTGTCTGCGCTCATCTTCAACATTCTCTATCGCTTCGAATCGCCCGTGCTGCTGAAGATGCAGCAACGTAATTTGGCCGCCACATATGTGATGAAGCGTTTGCAAAGCGCGCCCTACCCCAGCATTGAGGTAACACAAACGTGCGAGGAATGTAAGCAGCTGCTGGAATATGATGCCGGCCAAACAATATGGATGGCAATGCGCAAGAGCAACACCGTGCCGTTATTAAAAGTGCTGCTGCTGCGTTGCTACGGTGCGATTACGCTGTCATTGCCAGTCAATCGCACCTTCATCACGGCCAGCATGACTGGCTTGAAATGTACCATGAATTGTGTTTATCTGCTGGCACTTTGTGGTGTGCTTGGTAGCATAGTGGGCGCTTTGTGCGTGGACAAATATGGACGACGGAAGATCACCGTAATTTCACTGTTATTCTCTGGGAACTGCGCCTTTCTCATGGGCGGCGTGCTGCACTACATCTACGCGGAAATTTCGACAATTATACTGCCGCATCTGACATTTGAGTTGGTCGTCTATTTGATGTTCTGCTATCAGATTTTTGCTTGCGCTGGTGTCGCGTTGGCTTCCAGTGTTTATATGGCAGAGGCATTCACAACTTCGGTGAAAGCTAAGTGTTTGGCGACGCTGGTAGTGTGCGAGCAAGCTTTGCAAGTGGCTTTGGTCTTGACACTATTCTATGCCGATTTTGCGGAGCCCCGATTTTACTTCGCCATAGGGGCGCTGGGCATGGTCATGGGCACATTGGCGTTGTTTTTCTTACCTGAAACAATGTATTTGTCATTATACGAAAGTTTAGTGAAGTTCAACAAAGTTCCTTAATACTTATAAGTTAAGCTAATGATTCTAATCGAATTTATGTAAATGTAAGTTAAAATATAAGTGACTGTATTTATTTACGCGCACAGTGTATTGCTTAATTAGAAATACCGCTTATACACATTTAATTTTTTTTTTATTTTTTGAAAAATTATTTAATTTTACCTTTCCTTATGTGAACATGTGGCAATTTACAAGTATAAATATACATATGTGTATACTAGGGTGGTTCTTAAATGTAGGAAGCCTCAACCCCTACGTCGATGCTACTATAGTCACAGATATCACATACAAATTTTGGTCCCGATTGGAGACGGTTAAGACGTTTTTATAGGGTAATCTGAACTTAAGCCTTAACCGACTCCAATCGGGACCAAAATTTATAGTATATATCGATTTTGGGTATTAGATGAAACAAATTTGTTTTAATTTTTTTAGTCTCTATAGAGGAATCTGTACTTTGCCCCCTGTGTGACACGCCTTAACCGTCTCAAATCGGGACCAACATTTATATGTGATATCTGTGACCGTGGTATTACCGATTAAGGGGGTGAGACAGAAAAAATTCGTTCATTTGATTTTTAAGGACCACCCTATTGTATACTTATGTACTAAAAAATCACAAAAGTGGTGACTTGTGTTTAATTTCTAGACGATATAAGGAGAGAAAGATTAGTAGTTATGCGATTTATTTAAGTTGCAACTTTTAGATCAGTCTTTCCTTTGATCTTATATGGGCACTGAAGCCATTTTTCAGTCTGGGCAAACTGATCAAATGTAATATAATCAAGCCAAGTGCAGACATACCTTCCCCATTTGGGCCTTCCTTTGTCTTTTTTGGGCGCCTTTGCTTTTGTCAGCTATCCGTGCTGGTTGGTTGAAGCGGCGAGTTTAACAAGAACCACCCAGAAGTCTGTTGTTTCTCTCAAATCCAGCTTGTGGAGTTCAAGAACTTAAGAAGTTGCAGTGGGTTAATATCACTTATGTCTGTTAAACCGCAGAAGCAGAGTTTGCCTAGAAATCTGCTTCTAGTCCTACATAGTGCTGGCCAATCGCAGAGCAGATGCCCTACCGTTTCTTCTGCATTTGATGTATGGTACTGGAAGTGTTTTGTTCCAGTTCTAGTCTTGCAGCATGGATTCCCAAGGCCCAGTGCCCTGTGCAAGCCGGAAGTTAGTCGAGATAGATCCCTCCTATTTAGTTTGATAAGAAAATCAGTGCGTTTTGCGCAGTAGGTGGGCTACAGACTCCTGCAGACCCTACAAGATTATAAGTCTTTCCACATACTACTAGCCATCTTTTTCCGGCGCTGAGAGATGCCGCCCTTGATATAGCTCAGAGGCACCAGACAACCCTGAGACAACCAGAACCTCTGATGTAGCCCCTTGTGATCATCTTAGGCCTTGATGGCGCTTGAATTCACTTTAATTGGTTCTGAAGTGAAGGGTCAGTGAACGGTGTCGAGCGCTGCTACAAATAATATCCACAGAAATGCAAATAAATTGACGTGATTCAATGCTTCAACATTATTATTGGCAACAGGAAGGACATTAGCGCTTGATATTTATTCTTCAAAATGAAACTGATTTGGTGACAAGTATCGGCGCCGAAATTCTCCAAATGAAAAGCAGTGGAGCCTAAAAGTATACAACATGGAAAAGTAACAGTCGACGTTGCATGTTGTTTAGCGCACCTGGTATTCTTTTGGAGATTTTTAGCGATCAAAGTTAGCGATAGCGATTGCTGGAATCCGGCTGCTGTAGGATTACCAACTTCGACTGACAACACAATTACGTCCCTTGTCCGATTGGTAACAAGTAAACATATGACGGTGTTTCACTGAAAAATATGATTATTATTAATTTAGTCAGCTATACATCTTAAATACATGAAATTTTAAGTTTTGTCGTTATTGCAGGGGTCCATCGATATATGGTAAGGGTAACTAACTGATTTAATATAAGATTGTTTATTCAAACAATTATGATTTGGAGAAAGCCTAATGCAAGATATTTAATTGGAAGCCGTTTAAATACAGGCATTTTTTAAACAATTTACTTCCTGAAAATTTCTATATTACTTTTATGCAAACTGCCGATTTTTAAGAGAATCGTCTCATTCGTTTGATTCAGAGAGGCTACAAATAAAACTAATTATTGGGAATTATGGGAAAAGGCAGGGCATTTTGGAAAATATGTATGCATGTACGTACACGTGCCAAAAATGAAAAATAAACTTTTACTGGGAACAACAAAAAAGTACCAGTTTATATGACAATTTAAAGCACAACAATTCAGTGATACAAATTAAAGAACTTGAAAGCTCAAGTGTGTTGTAAAGCTCGCATTCTTAACTAAAAGCTTTATAAATACTCAGTTTACCTATATACACTCCCATGCACTTGAATAGTGACAATGCCTTTTAGCTTTTCCTGGGTTATTTTTCTTTATTAAATTTCCAATATTTTTTCGATAAAATGCAGTTCATTCTCCAACAAAACCGCATGCTCGAATTTTTCAAAATCGTCTTTCCGATAAAAGAAATTATCGAAAACGGTTCACGTGGTCCAAAGCTTTCTGGTAGCATATGTACATAAAAAAAAAGATAAAAAATATTCCGACGAATTGATGACCTCCTTCAATACGCAGCCAGCAAAAAATTCGAAAATCGATCCGAAAAAGGACAAAAAAGTGGATGAAGAACGGATTTTTGTCCGCTTACTGATTCCATTTTCGGATACTTTGACGATCCGTTTTCCCACTAAAGTGTGCGGCAGAAACGTACGTGCAGAAAACTATCGAAAATTGTTTGTAAAGCGGATACGTTTTCAGCTGTTTTTTCTGAAATTTGTCTGTTTCACAGATATTTTTTCATCGTTCAAAAGAAATAAAATTAGGAAGCACCTGGCGGAATTCGAAACCGGCACCTTCTGGAAGCTAGCAAATAGCGGCACACTCCTCTGCACGCTCAGCCAATAGCTTGAGCAAATAAAATACAATTATTGCTTTCAAATGACATCATCTTTTTCGAATGTTTCGAACGTTTTCCGAATACGAAAATTGATGATAATTGTAGGAGTTTTTTCTATTCGTTTTCGGATACGGAAAATTGAACTAAACTGCACTGTCGGCAAAATATACGTTTCTTTGCTGGCTGGGTAATAGAAAGGTTTTGTAATAAAACAGGCTTCTCGCTCCCACATATAAAAGCGGCTCCTTTACTTGTGCAGAATGTTGCTCACTCTACAGTTTCTACTTATATTAGTAGTAAAACCAAAAATTCGTCATACTAAATATTCGTTGGCATCGCCTTCGTTCGCCTAATTTTCTGGAACAAATGAAGAGTAGCGACCGTTTAGCTACAAAATAACCAAAAATGCCGATTGATAGAACTTTTTACGCTGATTTCAACGATACCAAATTTAGCGGAGGTAAAAAATAGAGAAGATATAAGAGGTTTATTGGCTTTGTTTATTTCTATTTTACAACGCTTTTATCAACTTGCAATGTTGTGTTCCAGAAACTTTCAATGTTGTGGATCCAGAAACTTTCAATGTTGTGTGTCCGACACCAAAGCAAAGCTTTGAAAAGCTCCTATAAAAAAGCATAGTGAATAGGGCGAGGTAGATGACATCTAGATGTCGCCCTATGTACTACGTTTGCTACACCGGAAATAGACGACACGCCATTTCTTTAAATAAAATTAGTTTGACTATTGTCAACTAAATCGAATGCTTTGTAAGTGAAGTGACTGGATACCAGTCCGGGAACCAGTTGGGAACCAGTTTGGGACTAGTCCGAAACTACTTACCTTCGGCCCAGTTGGGGACCAGTTGGTCTTTTTAAGCTCCTGTGGCCGTTTTAAGGGTAATACTTGGGCTCCTGCACTGCCGCTCGGGGTTTCTGCCTTCTACGGTGGTAATTTTCGGCCGGGTTGCCTGTTTTGGCGGATTGTTGTGCTGTGTGCCGCGTATTACGTGTACCGGGTACCACTTTCTCGAGCGAATTGCTCTGAGGAACCTGTTGTGTGAGTTGCTGGCTTTTTGGCTAGACTTTGAGGAGGGTTTATACACGCATATCGGCGGAAATAGACGACACGCCATTTCTTTAAATAAAATTAATTGGTGCTCGTTTGTATGTACATACATATGTAAATGCATGTGTGTGCAACTTTCTATTAATATCGTTGAATTATTTTAATATCTATTGCAAAATTTTATTCAGACAGGACTAAAAAGTAGAAAATAAATAATATAAAAAAAACTTTTTAATATACAACGCTTTTATAAATGGACTAAAAAGTAGAAAATAATATTTCTCAGTCCCATAGAATTTGTTTTGATAACTTTCGATTTTGAAATTTTAGCAAAAGTCATTATAAACAATCTATGAAATTGAAAATGAAAAGCGTTAACATTTGTTCGTTTTTAGTGCTTTTGGCTTAAAAATATAAAGAAGCATATAAATTATGTACATACATCAGCTGAAAGATTAATTAATTATCTTTATGGCGGAGTCATTAGTTTCTTAATCGGTTATGCAGTTCAAAACCTTCCTTTCTTCCTTTAACCTTCTAAAAGGTCTGTATATTTTTAATGAGCGGTCGGTATTCTAGATTTGTTCCAGGAAATGACGAATAACTTAAATTAAAAATGCATATTTTTACTTATTATTTTGTATTTCCATTCAAACACCAAATATATAGCAAATCCACTTAGAATGAATCGTACATATTTTACTTCTAATTGTATATTTTGCGTACTTTTGACATAGAATACGTCTTTCGTTTCGATATGTAGGCTATGCTCAAATATTGTTGTTGTAATTTTTAGAGCTTTACGAAAACGCTTATTGCGCGAGAACTAGTGAAACGATTTCAAAGAAAAGTGGCGTTTCAAACCTATCGACAGATTTATTTTTGGAGGTAACCAGTTCGGTTTCGGTCGTAGAAACAACGGTAAATATTGGCTTATTTTGGGATCAATTTTGAGCCTTTAAAGTGCCCTAGCAACTTTTTATTTGCAGATACAACTTTGATTTTCGGGATATAGGTTCATTTTTTTGTAAATTCAATAAATATTGAGCACTTTAAGGCAACAAATTGTCGAAAAAATTAGAACATTTTTTTAATTACCAAAATGCTCGAAAACCGCTCGAATGATTTTGTTTTTGTTTTCTTTAGTCAAAAACT